GGAAGATTGATTGGCGTTTGGTCGGGGCCTCCCCCCTTTTTTTTTTTTTTTTTTACCAATGAGGGCACTCCAGATAGAAGCCCCCAGAGTATCCTTGGTTCACAGACTTGGCTCACTCACCACCCACTCAGCCGCCTTAGGGGAAGGCGTTCTAACTCCTTCACCACCCTAAGGAGCAACGAGAGAAGCCTGCCAAGTTGCCTGAACAGGTGCTTATGACCTTCAAATAAAAGGGCTGGGGAGGGGGGTAGGAAAGCCTATCCTGGAAACCAGCAAGTAACAGGGACTGCTGGGAGTGAGGTGCTTGGGCAAGGGCCACTTACTCCACTAAAATGCAGACATTCCTGGGGTTCCATGGGGTCTTTGTAGTGTAGAGGGACAAGAGACTGCTCTACCTGCTGGCTTAAGGGCCCAGGCCAATCATTTACCTACCTCAGTTTCCCTACCTGTAAAAAGAACGAATGCCTACAAGCCGTATCCAACTGTGATTCTAGAATTTAGGGTCTAGAAGAGTGGGCAAACCGGAAGTAAAAGGCCCAGAAATCCACATAAGAGGAGATGCATGCCCATCCCCCACCTCACTTGGGGCCTTCTTATCTATATATTTCCAGATGACAGGTAGTCGCACTCATTGCTTTCTATTATAAATGATGTCCCCCAACTTGCTGGTCCGAGGGGCCACCAGGGCATGAGGCTCCCACCCCTGAACTCAAATAGGAACGGCTCTAGGGACTTGGCCACAGGCAGGCTGAATTTCAAACAGCTGTGGTCACAGAACGGAGACAGGTGCCGGCCGGGATGAAAAAGAGAACCTGTGTCACTTACCCCAAGAGGGAAACAAAATTGCCACCTCTGCCCAAAGCAAGGAGGGTCCTGGGAGGGTGGGCCACTGAGAATGATCAGGGCAGGAGAGCAGCGCGGGGCCCAGCTTCCTGCAGAGTTCTTTCCTGTAGCCCCCGCCAGGGGGCGCAGTTTTTGCCCCGCCTCTCGGGACAGCATTCCTGGGGCACCGCTCGGGATGTGGAGAGGGGCCTGTGACAGCAGTAAGGGCCTTCGCAGGCCAGGCAGGGAAGAGAAGCCTACTCTCCTAAACTCTCACCTTCCCGCTTTCACCTGGGGGAGGGGGACGCTCAGCTGTCTCCTAAAAGGGCCCCGGTGCTACCTCCCTGAAGGGCGGGACTGGCTGCAGGACCCCGAGAGATCAGCAAGTGGGACTAGAAGTTTGATGAATTTGCGCACTGCAGACAATGGCCGGCACACGTCTGTCCCCTCTGAGTAACTCCAGGGACAGTCCTCCACGTTCCCTGGCAGCCTCGGATCTGGACAGAAATGAAGCCCCTGGCCCAGTGAGGACCCCGTTCCCCGCCCCCCTTACCTGGCCTCCCATCACCGTCGCCGCATCTCCTCTGTCAAGGGTCGCCTCCTGGTGGCTGTGGCTAGATGGGAAACAAGCCTGGCAGTTGGCAGGAGGCTAGGAATGGGCCGTGCATCCTTCCCCCGCACCCCGCGCAGGCTCATCCCACCCTGCATGCTAAGCCCGGGTCACCTGTGCCAGGAACAAAGCTGGGAGCAGGGGCGGGCAGCACGGGCCAGACCTACTCACCCGGGCTCCTGGACGGGCTCTGGCTGCAGCGCTGCGCGGGCTCGCAGTGTGGGTGCTAGGGCTGGGGAGGGCGGTCGTTCTCTCAAGCTCGGTCCGCCTTTGTTGGGGCACCCCACTGCCAGGAAACCTCACCCACACCAGCCCGCGTCCCCCCATTCTCTCTCCCTGCAGCCTTCTCAAATCCTTCCTCCCCGTCCCTGGCGCCCCTTCTCCGACTGGGGTCTCCCTCTTTGCTTCCACCTCTTTCTTCCCAGCTCTCTCTACTCCCCTTCCTTGGGTCCCTTCCTCCCGGCCTAGCTCGGGCCCTTTTCCCTCGCGGTCATAGGCCCGCCGCTCGGGCCATCGCAGGGTCCCCTCTCCACTGACCTCTCACCTACCTGTCTTCTGCCCTCCCTAAGCCTGCCCCCACCAACCTGTCCCCCATTGTCTCTCCTGGCCCTCAGTATTCCGCCGCCGCCCCGGGCCCACACTCCTCTCACCGAAACGGTGCACCCGCTGGCGCTCCCCTGCCGGCTCGCCCCGGGGCAGCCAGACGCAAGCGAGCAGCACGCAGACCGCGGGCGCCGCGGCTCCCATAGGGGCGCGTGGGCTGGACTGCCGCGGAGCCGCTGCGGTCAGGGCAGGGGCACACCTCCACTTTGTGGCCGTCCCTGTCGCTCTCATGCCCCAGGGCTCCCTCGGTCCTTCTTCCCAGGTGTTTGACTCCTCCCCGAGCTCGAGTGACAGCCCAGCTCATTACCATAAGCTAGGCGCCTGGCGACCGGCCAACATCTGCCCTTCTTGACCCGTGGCTCCTCCCCCACAGCCAAGGTCGGATTCGCTTCACTCGGCAAAGTGCAGCCTCCCGCTACCTTGCCTGGGTTCTGGAAGGTCCCTGCGTCAGAGCCGGTATGAGTCTGGCCCCACAGGCTCCTTTGCCAACCGCCATACGGAGGTCCTGGACCCCACCGAGGTCGGTGGTCAGTGGCAGAGCCGGGATTAAGGCCTGCAGAGTCCCAGACTGTACCTTCACCAATCCTCTCTCTGCTTCCACGTGGGTCCCCAAATTCCCCTTCTCATCCAACCCCCAGGGAAGCACCTTTAGGGGAATGGAGCGGGCCTTACTCCTCTGAATGCCCAGTGCCAGCTCAGGGAATGCTCACTGGATGGCCATGGGGCCTCAGACTCCTCTATTATGGCTCCCGTTGAGGCCAGACTTCCACGAAGTCAGCTGCTTCGGCTTGGTGACCACCACTCTTTCAGTCCAGGAAGAAGTTCGAAATGGTGAGACGTGGGCTTGAGCACCTTGGGAACCCACGCATCGCTCACTTGGCCAGCATTTAGGGGACACCAGCTAGATACCAGCCATGCAGGTGGGGAAGAAGATGGTGCCCCCAGTGGATGGTGGGCAGCGGCATTCATTGATTCATTCATTCATTCATTCATTCATTCATTCATTCAGCTACTGCACGCATTCATGCACTCCTACCCACATTGTGGTCAGTGAAGCGCACAGGGCAATTCTCACACAGGGTATTTGAAGCCATGGCACAGAAGGGAAGGTGAAGATGAGAGAGCCAAGGATGGCACCTCGAAGGGCACTAGGTAAGGGGGCCAGCCTGTGGCCTGCTGGATAAAGAGATGGCTCCCACATGGGAGGCTACATGGTTTGAGTCCTGGCCCCAGCAGCTAGAGAAACACACCAAAAAGAGGGAGAGTGGAAGAAGAGATTGTGATGTGACCGTTTCCCATGAGGGGTGCTTTGTCTCCTTTTCTTTCTCTCTGTCTCTCAGTCTCTGGCAAGCCCATGTGTCCTCTGGCAAATTAAAAGAAGGAAGAAAGGAGGGAAGGAAGGATACACACCAGTTAAGCAATGGACAAAGCAGGGATGCCT